CAGGGAATGGGGTTTTGCCCCCTGTTTTCCCCCCCCCCCCCCCTCTCCTCTCCTCCTCCTCCTCCTTCCCGCCGCTGCCTTCTCCTCGTCTCCACCGCTCCACGCCTCCTCCTGCCTCTGAACTGGCAGGTGTGCAGCCGCTTGTTAGTGGAGGTCCCACAGGGAGCGAGCGGAAGAGTACATTGTTGTGCTTGGCAAATGCTATGGTAAAGAAAGGACACGGAGGATGAGAGATGAACACTAAATAATGCGAGTCCCAGGGGGGAGGTATTGGCAGAGGAATAGGTACGAGAGGACGGGGGGGATGGGAGGGGGAAGAGCGAGCTGAAGAGCAGAGGAATGAGAGCGCCGAGCCAGAAAGCACTAAAGGCCACTTTTATGCACCGCACCTGCTTTTCTATTTGAGAGGATTTATCTCAATAATGAGCAAAAATGGCTTTTATTTAGCTATATTCAGAAGTGAAGTGTTTATCTTTTGTTCCATCACATTTGCCTTTAGACACGTCGGAGGAAGACAAATGTCGACAGCAGTGGTTCTGCCCGAACTTCGATTACACTTCAATTTTACGTTTGACACGGTAAGTAAGTCGCCAGATGCGTACAGTAGTTGGGGTACAGTTTTAGCTCAAATCGGTCATTAAATTGGACCGCTGTCCTGGAACCAGCCAAAACAAACGCGATAAGCACAAGAGGGGATTTCGACTTAAGCATCTTAAATATCAATAGATCTCTTTGATCTTGCACTGATCCCAAGTGTCAGATCAGGGTCCCGACAAAAACTCAAATACTCTACGTTTATTTACCGTCTTATTTAAACAGCCTCACTTTCAGAGAGCAAACACGCGCAGCACAAAAGCTTTTTCAACTTATTTGGAACCAACTAAACTGAGTTTTTACGGCTGCCGCAGCTTCTTGTTCATACTGTACTCTGATACAGAAAGCTATTGGTGGATGAGAGCTTAAAAAAAAAAAAAAAAAAAAAGCAGCTGAAATGCCAGTCATTGCACTTTATTCTGTTCAAAGCAAAACTCAGTTTATGAAGCAGAACAGCAACTTTAAAAAAAAAAAAAAAAAAAAAAATTTGCACACTTTTAACTGATGACCAACAAGCGGCTATGTTGTTGTTTACATCAACTGCGGGTTGCTCTTTGTGCTATTCTCACTGGCTTCTGTGCCTCCAGTCCATCGTCCCCCTGGAGTCATTTTCCACCACACGCTACGACTCCAAGGGCCTGCAGGAATACTAAACCATTTATTTATTATTGTTTTAAGACTTTAAAAAAATCACCTTGCTTTTTCATCAAAACAAAATGTAAAGACCTCAGGGATAACTTTGCACAAATCTCTAACTCCTTTCACAAAGTCACTGTTTCTACTCACTTTAGGAGTTAATGAAACAGAATAATAGAGTCAGTGAGGGAAGCAAGTTGTAAAACAGGGGACCAACAGAGGGCAAAGTCATAGAAGAAGCTTGAAAACGTTAAAAAAAAAAAAAAGAATAGATGGATTCAGTGCGTCTTTCAAGGTGCAAATACTCATCGTAAAACAAGCAGCTCTGTTAAAAAAGAAAAAAGAAAAAGTTAAACTTATCATGAACCGACACACTCATTTTGCATTCATTTCCTAGGAGTGGCTGTGTAATATTCATGCAACTTGAGCAAACGTATGCCTCTCCTCCGACTCTGTGTCTCGCAGTGTCCTCTGCCACGGTGAAATTACCCAAAAAACGTCGCGTTTAATGGAAACGACTCCCACGGCCTCCTGCGGCGTGCTGATAGGCTGCTGGGGGGAGTGTGTCATCTGCATACATCAATATTTATAAGCAGCGGCAGACAGTCGAGAGGTTGAGACGTTCTCTCTCTCTCTCCGTCTCTGTCTCTCTCTCTGTCTCTGAGCCGACGCGCGCCATGACGGGGGGGAGCGAGGGGAAAGCGCTGGAAGTTAGCAGAAGTGAAAGGAAGCGAGGCAGAGTTTAATCTAGTGAAACCATTAACAGTGTTAGCGACAAAAAAAAAAAAAAATCCGCCTCCCACTCACCCCGACTCGGGGTGACAGTGTGACCTGTAACTGGGATGTTTGCGGCGAGCAGCGAAGGAGCAGCGCCCGCTCGGTGGCGAGCGTGCGCGCCCGCGCTCACCGCCTCATGTGTGGCGTCCGGCTCGTTATGCGGGTCGTTGTGTTACTGAGCCAGATGTGCTTCTTATGGCTGCACAGATAGCTTTTGCAAACAAACACATTGTTCACTCCTCTCAACATCTGCTGCCATCATTAAAGAGTTAGCTTCGGCTTTAATCATAAGCCATTATCAGAGTACTTGCTTTAGCGGTGCAGCACAAACACACACACACGCGCACACACACGGGCGTCACACGCACGCACACGCAGAGAAAGAGTGATCCGGTGGGAGGGGAAAAAACTGCGAGCAGAAGCCGTTCGAGGCATCCGTTTCTCCTTCGCATTCGTGTCACCTCCAGATGAAATAAAGGGAAAGTTTGCCGTCGGAGCAACTTTTCAACTAAATCATAATCCAGTTGCAGAGACGAGGCTGATAGGGGGGAGGCAGTGGCAGTAAAACGAACGGAGGAAAGTGGCAGTTAGCGCTGCGCTGCTGATGTCTGCATAGCCGCCAAAGTGAAAAGGGAAATACAGATCTCATAAAGCCCTGATGGGGCTGTGTTAAAGCGAGCGACGCCCGATCTGAGATCACGTTAACAAGACGTATGCGGCGAGGAGTTGAAGCGGCGTGGAAGTCTGCGGTTACAAGCGTCTGCGTGTTTACTGGATGTCGGAGACGGCTCGCGTCGTACGAGCAGGTGATTGTTATGGAGCAAATAAAAGACTTTAATCACCAAGTTTAGGCTTCCTTTACGGTGTTTGTCACACAGCAGGAGAGGCGCAGACAAATCTTTTCGACTGTAAATGTTTAAATAAATACACTTGTGTGCTGAATATAGATTTGCTGCACAGACTGCAGGGAAATCTTCAGCTTTGGGAGTTTTGTGAAAACCCCATTCATGATTTTGAGGTTTAATGCTTGCCAGCATTTAAACAAAAGAAAAAAGGAAAAGAAAAAAAAAAGGCATTTCACAACACTCACTGAGAAATATTTAAAAACAACATTACGTAAAAGACCTAAGGAGGACTTGAATGGTTTCAGACCAACATTAAGCTTCTGGGATGCCCCAACCTCAATCCTGTCGAAAATTTTAGACTACAGCTAAAAGCTTAGTATGTCCAAGAAAAAAAAAACAACAAAAAAACAATCAGATTCAACTGAATGAGTTTTGTCAAGAAGAGTGGTCGAATAAACAGAGTTCTACCAGAAGATTACCACTGGCTCCAAAAAGAAGATCGATGAGGTGAAACTTGCCGAGTGCCATTGAACAAAGTATCAACAAGGATGTATAGTCAGCTTTAACCTTTAGTAGTTAAAGGGCGGTCCTTTAGTTAAAAAAAAAAAAAGGTTTCCTGATTTTAAAACTAAGATACTTGTGTAGGGTTCGGACACATTTTTCATATTTGTGAGTGCGTGCTCGTACCCGACTCCAGTCATAGTTTCTGAGTTACTGACGGCCAGGCTGACCACTTCGCTGACGTCTACCCTCCCTATGGCCGAGGGGCTTCGCTCGTTCTCGTAATAACTCAGGAAGCCGCCCTCCAATGTACACCAGCGTCGTCCCATGTCTGAAACATAAACACACACACACACACACACAGAAAGAATACCAATTCAGAAATCATAAACATTGTTTTAGGTGTGTCATATTTTAAAGTTTCTCAAACAGACCTTTTTGCCCCCCAAAATGAGTAGAAATGAACAGTTTACCTTGATACTGGTAACGTTAGCCCACTACGTTTGGATTAAGCGATGCATTTTGAATGCAAAGTGATGTAAAAACATCAAAACAAACAAAAAAATACAAGGGTGGTCATTTTAAGCAAAAGCTGACTGAAAGTTGACGAGACAAAAAAAAAAAAAACTACTCGTGAAGTCAACTTTAAATATGGACATCATAGAAAGACACACAAGCAGACTGATGCAACATTGTACAGTCCAAGCAGCGAGCAGGTTTCAATCTGCAAACATCTTCTCAACAGGAAGGCTGGAAAACACACAACTTTGTGTTTTACGACTGCCTTACGGTGCGATTTACATAGCCAATGAGCATGAAGTTCATGAAAACGTACCTAATTTTGGATTTTCAAAGTCACCATGCCATCTGGGTTTTTTTTTTTTTTTTGATTTTTTCTTTTTCTCCTTGTTCCGCAACAAACACACACATACAAACAGCTTCCCACCCCACAACCCCCCGTCGCTCGCAACTCCAAAGTTTCCAGCGTATTCATCTCATGAATATGCTAATTGTGCGTTCCTCTGCCAACCGCGTGTGATACTTCTGAAGAAACAGATATAGTTCCAATAAAAAAAAAAAGAAAAAAAAAAGGAAGTGTCGACAACTGGATGTAGAAAGAAAAGGGATGTGATAAACACGGGAAAAGGAGGATGTCAGTTTTGCTCTATTCACCCTCACGCTGCATCTCTTTACAGCTGTTTCTCACTTTATCTCTGTGTTCTGTTTGTAAGAAAAAAGTTATTTGTACAAGAATTCAGTAAAAAAAAAAAAAAAAAAAGCAACATAATTATTTTTTTTTCTCTCACTTGGCATTTAAAAAGAAATACCCTCTCGCTGACCCCACTTCACTTGAAGAAAGATAGATAACTCCAGCAGCTACAGAGGCATCATCTTCATTTACCCACTATGCACATTAAACTAGGGGTTTAATGTGCCGGTGTGGGACAGACAGAGAGAGACAAAGTGTGGTATTTAAAGCTATTACCACTCAGATCTGTCTGGCAGGATATAATGTTGTCTTGGCGACAGAAAAAAGATGAAAATACATTTCACTTTGGTTTAAAATGTGCCCCTAAATCGCTGAGGGTTTGCAGAAAATGTCATGTCCATCATTTCCAGGACAAGACGTTCAAAAGTTCTTGTTTTGCACTACATTGTAATTTTGTGTTGCTTCTCATTTGTCACAGCTGCGACACCCGAATAACTGGAGACGAATCTACTCCGCCGAGTTTCCAGCCGTCATTGTAACCCGCTAGATAACATACAGAAGTCATCGTTGCTCTCTCTCAAGAAGACTGACTTTCTTTTAATGTTGCATAGAAGATTTTAAACATTTATAAATACCAAACAGTCTTTTAGTGGTTGCTATAGAACATTTTATTCGTTTCAATTAAAAAAAAAATAACTTTTTTCATTTGAAACAGTGTAACGACGAGCAGTCGGCCAGTACTAGATACCTTTGTGTAAAGTAGAAGGTTCCAGTGCAGGTAAAGAGTTTTTCCAAGTCATTTTTCTCAAACATAGGACATAAAATGAACAAAAAAAAAACAAACTATCCTAATCCAAAAATGTTATTTCTACACAGGGTGTTGACTGCTGACAGTTGTCCAATGGTCCCTTTACAACTTCACAAGAAGCCTAAGCCACAATAGGTAATTGCTAAAGGTAATGGCTGTTCACATGGGGATACAACGATATCAATGGAAAGTTGAATGGGCGGACAAAAGATGGTAAAAAGAGTAACAGCACCAGGGATAACCACAGCTTTGTGAATGTTTTTTTTTTTTTTTTGTCACAAGGGTGGGAACTATAGGAGCCGCCACACAAAGAAATATTCATACCTAAAAATGGAGCAATAGTTTTAAAGTGAAGAGGACTGTGAGAGAGGCGAGGGGAAAAAAATCTGCAATGTATTTAGTATGACATCATGCTACAGCTATGAAAGAATAATTCATTTAAAAGCTGTTTAATGCGTCTTTACAAGAGATGCCAGTGAATATGGGGTGTTCTCTGTGAGGCTGCTTTTCTAGGAGCAGCGCAAATCTGAAAAAAGCTGAATGAATTTCAAACAGTTCAACAAAACCACTTTTAAGTGGCGTTTAAAAAAAAAAAATCAATAAATAAAAATGTGGCAAGAGTCCTTTCCTTTTTATGGTGGTTAGTGGGTTTAGATCCCTTCAACACATTCCACCAGGAAACTGGCTTCGTCAGAAAGCCACAGATCTTGAGCATCCTTCTATCGTCCTTTTTCTGGGACCGTTTTCTTTCTTAGCGGGTGGGATATATCAGTAGCTTCTGCGCGAGAACCAGCGCAATACGAGGGGAACAATAGTGCTTGATTTACAATCGAGCAGCTGCGTCCATTGCCAGCTGTTCCCCCCCCCCCCCCCCGACTCCCACACACATCCAGTGGCCCCGTGGCCCAGCCGTACTCCACGGGAGGCCATAACCAGCCACAAGAGACGACACTCGCGAAAGCCAGCCGAGGTACGTGACTCCACCAGATAAAATGGGCCAATTAGCTCGTACACCAAGAGAGAGCTCCCTGCATAGTGTTTTCCAAAGGAAGGAAGGTCTCCGAATGTTAAACCTTTTTCCTCCCCATTTTTCTGCTTTATTGCACGAATCGTTTTTCCACAAAATGCTCTAAATCATCCAAATGTGCAAGGCGAAACAGGTTGATTGGTTTCAAATTCTAACCTTGTGCTTCTCTCCTCACTCTCAAAGGAGAAAAGAGACACAGCCAAAGTCTCTCAACTACATCCGTAAGTCTTCCTACTGTCTTAAACTTTTTATCGATGTGGCACGGACATCCAATCCAGTATTCATCAGAATAGAAAGGCTGTGCCCCCGTGTCTTCTTTTTTTTTCCCCCCCTTTTCATTTTTGTGAATCCTTTTCGGCTCTCACTCCCACGTCCGCCCCCTTCCACCAATCTTCTGCCCATCTCACCATCAGACTAAAATATCTGCAACGAAGACATCTGGTGGACAGCTTGTCAGGGGGGCTCGAAATGGGAATCAGGAAAACGGAAAAGGATCTGAAGGATATGTCTGTGCCAGAATTAGAGCCTACTTCATTACGTTGAGGGACGGACAAATATGACAAAAGAAATAAAAGGAAATAAAAGGAAATCAGTAACTTTGACGTGTTTCAACCTGCAATACTACTCACTCAGTCCCCTAAACGTTGCAAAAATGAATGGAAGTTGCATGTATTATGAACATAAGCTCCACAGATCAACACAAAGTAGTTCAAAATTATGCAGGGGGAAGGCAAAAAAAACATTTTCTGGCATTTTTCACAAATTAAAAAAAAAAAAAAAAAAAAGTAAGGCACTTGGAATTGAGCCCTTTACTCTTATGAGTAAAGGGCTCAACAGTCAGATTCTTACTCTCATCAGGAGTTTGCGAGAACCTGTTAAGGAGACACGCCAATCATGTGGGGAAAAAGAAAAATTTACTCCGGGTCAGATGAAGCCAAAACTGAACTTTATGGAGTACATTTAAAGTGCAGTGGACACAACACTACGCATCACCTTGAGCAAAACATCCTGCATGGTGAAGTATGGTTGTGGCGGCATCATGCTGTGGTGCTTCTGTAAGAAAAGCTTTTAGAAGACTTGAAACTGAGGCGGTTCTCCCTTCAGCAGGATAATAATCCTAAATGTACCACTAAATCTTCAATAACATAGTTCAGATTGAAGCAGATTCCCAACAGTGCAGTAAAGAAAAGGCCTAAATCAAATTAAACATCTCGAAAACTTATGTTTATAGACACCTGGTGTCCAGTATGAAAAAAAATTATGCTGCAAAGAAAATTGGGTGAAAAATTTAAATCCCTAGATGAGCAACGAGGGTGAAGTCGTACCTAAACAGAGGCTGTGAGTGCAGCATAAGGCTGAAGGATGATAAATACTTCTGCAAGGCAATGTAAAACAGAATAAAATCCACTCACAGTCTGAAAAGTAAATCTGAATATAAACCACAGAGAAGATTTGTCTCGTTACGGAAGACCCGGATTCAAAGTTTGCAAATGAAAAAAGCAATCGAATTGTTCATACGGGCTCAATAAAACATAATTTGACTTCTATCCACCAGCCCTCCATTCCTCAACGTCTCCACGGAAGCGAGTGAGTTACGGCTGCAGGCGCAGGCAGGGCACCGCTGATGAGGAAAAGACAAAAGCTAATCAGAAATTATGCGTGCCATTTCCTCAGTGCCAGTCGCCACATCAGACGGCGGCTTCCAGGCCGTCTCTCTTTACCTCCTCAAAGATCACTCTGGCGCCGCGAAGAAAATGCACAAAAGAGGTGGACCGTTTAAATGTGATTCACTTCTTCTTCCCGTCCACTGGGAGCGATTCACTGGAGCGGGAATCAACTGTCTGCACCGCTGCAGTCAACGTTGCAAAAGTATCGAGTTTAGAGGAGTACAACATGTTTTTACCACAAACAAGAGAAGAAAAATAATTGCTTTACTCATCCACATCAATCGTCACTTTGGTGCATTTGTAAAGTTGCACCGTTCACAAACAAACAAAAAAAAAAAAACTAGCTTGACTTGTCTCCAAAATAATAGCTTACAATAGCTTCATTAAGTCCTATTCACACTATGAATTATTAACAACTCGGGCACATCTACAGAGCATCAAACCATTAGCCTCCAAAGCCAACAGCATCCTGTAGTACATTCAAAAATACCTCGTCCGTCTGTGCTCACGCAGCCCCGGCTGTTCTCCACTTTTTCCATTGACGAAGTTGGAACACGTTGAGTTTTTTTTCTTTTTTCTTTTTTGCACCCCGACCCTGCTGAATTTTTCAGCAGCAGCA